ACACAATGTTCTTAAGCTTGTCTGATGGATTTACTGACACGATGTCCTAAAGCTTGTTTGTCTGAAAAACTCAAAAGCTTCAACAACAGTTGTTGTTCATGAAATAAAACTGATTATTCAAACTAATGGATTTTTTTGTGTTTTGTTATGCAGAAGCTCAGTTAAATTACAAGTCATTACTTTTGGCTCCTTACATTTTGCCTTGGCTCCTTGAAATTCGCTTTGGCTCCTTGAACAAAAATTTAGGAGCCAAGTGGCTCCTTTGAAATTTTTTAAACTTTGTTGCCTGCTCTGGTGCTAAGTTTTTTGTTAAATTCCCTGATATCTTTGAAAAATACAGGGTCACGGCAACTAGCGATAAAATGGTACATGATTGGTTCTACAATCCAATGCAATTTTGGCTAAAGCAGTTAAACTTTGCCATATGGTGTGCTACAACAGGATGTGGTGTATCTCTTTATGCCCCCAGATTTGAACTAAATAAGTCTGTATATCATTTCACATGTACTATCAGATTAGACGTTTACTTAAAGAAATTAGTGCCCCATAACCGCAGGATTGAGCATGGAATTCCTCAAATAATCTGTACAATAGGTTCGTGTATGAGCGTATTTGTCGGGAATTTGGTATTTCTACGAGTAAAGATTGGCGTATTAAAGGACTTAACCATGGTCTAGGTGTTCCGTACAATGGACAAATAACTGTTAAAGAAGAAAGTGATGATTTAGTTAAAAAAATTCATCAACCATTCGATCCATTTAAGTTGTTACAGACAAACAAACTTTATATAAGAATGCATGATTTTTATTTAAAAACGCATAATTGGTATCACAGCTGGGAACTTTCGAGTAACGATTGGAGAGGAGATATAATGAGTTTTAAGAGTGGTTTGCCTTATATTGTTACAAAATTCGTGCAACTAAACGATACCTCAAACGCTTTGAATGAATTTCTTAATGATAAAACAGAAAATAATTTTACTAACCCAGGATTTGTAAGAGTTAATGAATCAATAAGAACTTATGTATGGGCAATTCTTGGTGCACAGTCGCAAACACAAATGGGAATAATTGGTTCTGGGACGGCGCTCGATGCACAAAAACAGTTTGCTGCAAATGTGGAAGATGCTATCAATTCACCAGTTGATATACCATCTGAAAAAACAGCGCTTATAGTAGGTGGAGTCGCGGCTGGTTTACTCGTGATTTGGATAAATCTTATCTTTAATGGATAAGTACAACAGCCCGGCAATTGCTATGATCAGTGCCCACTAAGCCAAGTGGCGGTCTTAGCTAATAAATTCAAGAGCCAGGAAACAATACTTGCTATTATACTGGGAAGTGCAGATGCGGCTTTCCCAGCAAGTTTTCCCAGTGCTTTTCCTAATGCTTTTAAATGCTTTTTTATCCACTCTTTTACACCATTTGGCCTTAGTGGTGTGGGTGGTCCACCTCCACCGGTTAACGCGAGAGTCAAAGTCAATATAATAAATCCAAATGCAGTTAAAATACTGGCAATGGTTATCCCTTGTTCTCTGAACAATGTTTTAATTTTATCGGCCAGTGTAGTGTCATCGTTGAGGACTTGATCGATAGTTTCTCCAATTTGACTGATTTGTGAACAAAGTGCCCTTCGAGGCGGGCCGATCTTTCGTCTTTTAAGTTACGAAATCTTTCCGCAATGCGATGTCTACTGAATTCATCGTCTGCCTGTTCAAGTTTTGTTTCCTCATAAGCTATATGCATGTCGAGTTCTGCATATCTTGGCTGTATTATTGATGAGTTCTGCCTGCGTTGTTTGCATTGCCTTGTCAAGGCCTCGTAATTCCCTTATACTGAGCCCCGAGGATGGTGGTACCGGTAACGGGGGATCACCAAATGTACCCAAGATCCGAGGCCAGATTCGAGCGTTCTTCCAAATTATCTTTATCTATGGCATCGAGTTCAGTACGCCCAGTCTGAAGAACCTTTTTCTCATGAGTAGTCTACAAGACCTAATTCATTACAAACAAGGAAAATTCCTTTACTATCTATCCTAAACTTTGAATAGTCCCAACCAATAGATGTAACATATTTTTTGTCTTCTTTTAAAGCATAGTAATAATCATAACGGCTGGTTTCAAAAGTTCATCATTAAGATTCATAAAGCTGGTTTCACCAGTACCCTCTTTGGTTGTACTAGTATCAGTAATGTTATCTACATTAATATCATCCATTTTTATATTAAACATAAGGTTACATAATTTCAATATAACAATGTCTTTGCAATACGGATGCAAGTTAAACCCGTAGACTAAGGGATCCATTAGGGATCAAAGCAATTCGCCAGTCTGAAACTATAACTAATAACCCGAGTACCATTGATCAGAATCAAACACTTCTGGTTCACTTTCCTAATCTAGGCGCTCATGATGTGTTAGTTCCAGGAGCTGCATGACTATCATTTACTATTAATCTGACTTCTGTCGACGCTAATAAAGAACTTGTTCAGAACATAGGTCGTGCGATTGTTAAGAAAATCGCGATTAAAATTAGTGGTTATGAAGTTTTGAGTATTGACGATAGCGATGTATACTTCTGTTACATGCATCTCTAGAGAACGGCTAAAGAACGGGAAAACTTACAGTACCAAGGTATTCGTAATCGGAACACATTGAGACTGCGTGTGTGGGCTGATAGTGGCCATAATACCTTCGTTGAAGATAAGACTGTTGCTGATGCTTTAGGCAACTGATTCTATATTCCACTTGACTTTGAATTACTAGATAGTCACATGCCCCTTTATCAAGCATCCCTAAGCGCTATGTTAGAATACGAACTCACTTTTAATGACTACAGCAGAGTAATCAAACTTGCTGAGGATTAAATTGGTAGCTATTCTATTGACAATATCTCACTGGAGTATGATATGATAACAGATCCTGAATTAGCCAGACAAATTCGTAACCAGTATACCGGAAGTTTAGCCATTTTGTACAATCGCTTTAGCTTCGACACCGTAAGATCACCAGGAACAAAAGAGATACGACATGGAATATCAATCTAAACGTCCCCGCTAGATCGTTGAAGGGTATTTTAATGTTGTTCGAGGATCCTTCTGAAGCATTTCAAAGAGATACCCAGAAGTTCTACAATCCCAAGATTACAAAAGTAGAATTGACTGTCGAGGGAGTGCCTAATCAACTATATAGTCAAGGCATGCAACCATATCAACAATGGGATGAGATTAAAAAACTCCCTTCTATAAAACGAAGCCCAGTGAAACGGGGTCGTGAAAGATCTGTCTCTCGGGGATGTATCAATGGCTGAATTCCTTACCAAGAAGTATGCGCTATGGCTCGACATGCGAACCACAGATGCTGACTAACTACATAGTAGTGGGTGGAGAATAGAAAATGCCAGTGAGGGTGTTACTATACAGATAACGAAGCGCCAGGAAGCGGCTGGTAAATTAATCATATATTTGTACTTGATTATGGACGCGCAACCTAACCCTAACCCTAACCCTCCAGACGGCATATGGAGCAAAAATACAACTCTGTCCTGAAAGATCTCAGAGAGCAGACCAAATGGCTAGCCCTGTTTCATTGCAAGACCAAGATTCAATTGAGGAATGTCTACGCGAAAATGATGTTATTTCTACCAAGTTGAGCGAGATCAAGTCAGAAAACTGTTAGCGGAAACGAAGCACTGTAAACTCGTATCAAAAACCGATTAACCAGCTGCTTATGCATTGCTTAGCAAAAATAGCAAAATTATAGCAAAAATATAGCAACTGCTGAGCAAAACTACAGCAACTGCTGAGCAAAAATATAGCAACTGCTGAGCAAAAATATAGCAACTGCTGAGCAAAATATAGCAACTGCTGAGCAAAATATAGCAAAATATAGCAAATTTAGCAAAATTTGATAAATTGAACATTAGCAGTGATTATGTAAAAATGTGGTTTGAAATACTCATTCTTTCGCAACAGTTTATTATTTTGGGCTGTATTTGATATACAATATTTAATTATGTTTGACTTAAATATCTCCTTTGGTATTACATAATGGAATACGACAAACTTATCGAACAACTGCTCCAAGAACCTAAAGTTGATAAATCTTTAGATCAACATAGAAGAAGACTTGCAGCTTTGGTAGCCGGTGGAAAATGTTCCCAATATTTGGGGGAAAATTATACCACTGAAAAAATTGATAACATGACCGACGAGGAAATTAAAAAACTATAAGTGCGTTACGAGTCTAGACTGGGAGCTACCATGACTAAAACAAGAGGTTCAGCTATGTTACAACTATACACAGTTGTAGCTAGTACGTTTCTTCCTATCCCAGCAGAAAAATCGCATGTATTTATGCGAATCTCTCGAGATGGTAAATATGTATGATTGGAATAGTCTGGGAATCATGCACGCACGAATACGGTGTTAGCGTTGGGCGTCTCAAAGTGGGTGATTCCCGTGCACCCTTTCGATTTGAGTTGATTTGTTCAACTTAGTCATATGGCCCTGTGAAGCAGGGATAGCATTATGCAGATGGCTGTTACAATGAATGCTCGTTCCACCCGTGACGGACAGGTCTGGTTGTTGATGAAATATAGTGATAGCTAAATAGACAGATTTTTTAGTCATGCACCGATTGTCTTTAAATGTAATATCCAGTTATGTATGACTGTTTAATAATCTCATACCAACTTTGACTGGAGAAGGTCCGATAGTTTTTCAGATATTGTAGTAAACGTCGGTACCTTAAAGTACCTTCATGACTATAAGTGTATCCAAGGATAGAGTTGGGGCTAAGCTACACTAATCTTAACAAGCGAAAACCATAGTAGACGGCGACTCTTTCTTGAACTTCTGTTAAAAAAGGAACCATTTTCTTTCAATTTCATGCGTGCTTCCTCGTGTGACAAGAATTATGACAAAATGAAGATGAAAGGAACTATACCTTTCTTTAGGTGTCTATATAATATAGCTATAGATTAAATTAAAAGGAACTTTACTTGTTGAAGTTGTAGTTTGTATGTCTTGAGATTTTCCTGGATGTCCTCGGCCATAGTTTAAACAATTGTGTTCAAGTCTGCCGACGCTTGTTCTTGACGAGAATAAACGATAAACACACGATCATTCCCAGACACAGCTACCGGAAGTTTAGAATTCTACGGAGTTAGAGTTTAGACTGAACAATATCTCTGTTGTACTTATAAGTGTAGTTATTATTTTTCCAAGGCCCAAATTAATAATCCTAATCTGATATTTTTAAATATTGTACACATCATTTATTACAAATGTTGTCTGCGCGCCTACTATTCCGATAAGGGACGCAACTCTAGCAGTCAGACGATTTCAAGAAATCCAACGCACTTGAGTCTTGACATTTGCTAAATAGCCGTACATACAAAAGTCGCCCGAGGTATATTTTATAGTCAAATATACTATGACATCGGCACGAGTGTCGAATTATATTAGAGCATGATGAGTGTATAACAGTTAGATCTCTCTGCATATTTGCCAAAATATTTGCCACACACCTTAAATTGGGAAATAACTGAAAATGGGAGTAGTGCACTTTACCGGGCGCACTTTTTCAGATCCAATTGGCGCTGTGGGGGCGCGAACGCGCTTCGCCGGCTCACTGGTTTGGCTAATTAATGCGTTATTTAGACGACGCTCTACCACTGGACCACAATAGTTCTACTGTTGGACACACTAATAGTTCCACTGTTGGACATACTAATAGTTCCACTATTGGACACACTAATAGTTACACTATTCAACACACTAATAACTTTATACTATTCGACACACTAATAGTTACAGAGGGGAAACGCTGAATTCGAAGCCACCCCCAACTCGTAGGTTTCTACACAATTTATGGTGAGTTAGTAGACACATTTTTTAAATTTTGGAACAGAATGATAATAATTAGCCTACTAATATTTATTATCAGTGTCAGCAACAGTATTATGGACAAAAGTTCAGTCGGGAGCAGGTCAAAACAGCCCAATCTCAAAATGGCCTCAAAAAGGTAAAGTCAAAACGGACACAACCTTTAGTCAAAACAGCCACAGAAAAAAGTCAAAACGGACACAACCTTTAGTCAAAACAGCCACAGAAAAAAGTCAAAACGGACACAACCTATAGTCAAAACAGCCACAAAGAAGTCATAACAACCACACAGAAAAAAGAAGAAGAAAAACTCAAGTATTGCGGCACATTAATTGTATTATATAAATATATTGTATAAAAGTTCATAGATCAGATCACATTAATTGTATACACACAGATCTTCAGCATTAGTCCATGGTTTGAAGCGCATATATTAAGCAGCTGAGATGATATTGTGTTAACCCCAATTTATAAATTTTCGTATATTGATATGATTTCATTTATATCTTACTTACTTGCTTTTGGAGATTTAACGTGCACTTTCCGACATTATGAGTATTTCGCACACAGCTCCTTTTTATCATTGTTGTTGTTGCATTAAGTGTTTAAGAGGTTGCCTTCTGCCTAAGCAATTTCGGCTGACCATCTATTGTGAGTTTGGTATTCACATAATTTCTGTTTTTGTATTGATATGATTTTTATTTTCTTATATTGATATGATTTCATTTTTATCATTGGCTGCTCTGTTTATATATGTTCGAGTAGCTGTCCTCTCAGAAATCGAGTTAAATGGCCTTTGCTATTGGCTATCTCTTGGCTTCAGGAGATCTACGACAGATAGTGGATCTAACTGCAATTCTTCTTTTAACCTAGCCTGGGCTGGGGCATGGTCTTGACACTCTAGTTACACATGAGCAATGGTTTCAGCCTGATTGCAAGACGAACAAACCTTGTCATGTCGGATCCCCACGCATTATTTTGCGACTGAGTGCACCCTGGGTTCCCGATGTGCGGAATGTCATTCCCTAACTAACTTGGCGTTTACAGTTTACCTGCAACGTTGTCATCGTCGTATTGCCAATCGCTGTTCCAAAGCGGGGGATTCCAAGGCTAGTACCAGCTCCTGAGCTCCTCTCGGACAGCTCCCTTACAGACGATTTATCGACTCGCGACCTGTGTACCACTCTACAAGAAGATACGCAGGTCGATGTCTGTCTGACAAACCCAGGTTCCGCTCTCGTTATACCAGTGACCGATTGCTCCGGTCCATTTAAAATCCCGCTCTTGGATTCAGCTAGCTCTGCTCCCCAGGCTGCTAGAGATACAGCCATCGGTATTAATACCTCTCAGCTTGTTTTAGATGGTCACATTTTAGAGGATCCCGATCCCAGGATTGGCGTTCTCGCTCCAAGGATCAGCATTCTTGATCGAGATGCCATTATCGCTCCAGGGCTGATATTGAACGCTCGCATCATGATCGGCATCATTCCCGCTCCCAAGGGAGATCCCCACGCGTTATTTTGCGACTGAGTGCACCCTGGGTTCCCGATGTGCGGAATGTCATTCCCTAACTAACTTGGCGTTTACAGTTTACCTGCAACGTTGTCATCGTCGTATTGCCAATCGCTGTTCCAAAGCGGGGGATTCCAAGGCTAGTACCAGCTCCTGAGCTCCTCTCGGACAGCTCCCTTACAGACGATTTATCGACTCGCGACCTGTGTACCACTCTACAAGAAGATACGCAGGTCGATGTCTGTCTGACAAACCCAGGTTCCGTTCTCGTTATACCAGTGACCGATTGCTCCGGTCCATTTAAAATCCCGCTCTTGGATTCAGCTAGCTCTGCTCCCCAGGCTGCTAGAGATACAGCCATCGGTATTAATACCTCTCAGCTTGTTTTAGATGGTCACATTTTAGAGGATCCCGATCCCAGGATTGGCGTTCTCGCTCCAAGGATCAGCATTCTTGATCGAGATGCCATTATCGCTCCAGGGCTGATATTGAACGCTCGCATCATGATCGGCATCATTCCCGATCCCAAGGGAGATGTAAGATAAAGGGTTAACTGTGACGTCATACACGTGTACGTAATTGATGACGTAACACGCATGTACCACACCGGATGACGTAGTAAACCATTCTATGAACTCGCCATGCTTGTTGTTCAATATATTACATGGTGTCAGAAGAAAACACGGAAACTGGGCCGAATGGAGCAGTTACGAGCACCAAATGAACTGAGTTTTGAAGGCAATCTAGCCGAGAAATGGAAACGATGGCTTCAAAGGTTTGAGGTTTACCTAACTGCCAGCGGAATCGCTGCAAAGTCAGAGGCCGTGAAGTGTGCGACCTTGCTACACGTGGCGGGAGAATCAGCCGTGCAGGTATTCAATTCGTTCGAATGGGCGAATGAAGGTGACTATAAAAAGTTTGACAGAGTTAAACAGAAGTTTCAACAATATTGTCAACCGAAGAAAAACTTGACTATAGAAAGACATGCATTCTTCACAAGATCACAGAAAATCGGGGAAACTATAGACCAGTATGTGACAGATTTGAAAAACAAAGCTAAAAACTGTGAGTTTGCTGACTTAACTGAAGGGTTAATTAAAGACAGAATTGTCTGTGGTGTACAAAGTGACAGTATGAGGATGCGCTTATTGAGAGAACCTGACCTAACTTTGACTCGTACAGTTGACCTCTGCAGGGCGACTGAGGCAAGTGCACAACAATTAAAAGTTCTGAGTGAAGAACAAACAGGGAGTCAAAACATTCATGCCATTTATGCGCGAGGCCGTGCACGAGGAGGCCCACGTGAGACATGGAAGGACAAAAATGAAAGAGGACATTATGAAGACAGGCGAAATGCACAGTATCCAAGATGTAGGGCATGTGGCTATAATCACATGAAGGATAAATGCCCAGCGGTGCGGTGCGGTGGCAGACACCACTTTGCAAGTATGTGCAAAGCAAGACAGCCTATGTCAGATAGACGAGACCGCCCTGACAATAAAAACAGACATGTACTTGTTGTGGAGAATTCAGAGTCTGAAATTGAGGATTTTGACCAACTATTCATAGGAATGCTGGAGTCAGATTGTGATAATGAGGACTGGAAAGAAACTCTGACAATTATCAAGAAACAGGTAGAGTTCAAGGTTGATACAGGGGCACAGTGTAATGTCATCTCCAAACGAGTGTATGACAGTTTGAAACTAGTAGATGAACAGTTGTCAGAATCTCAAACAAGACTAGTTTCGTATTTTGGATATAAGACGACCCCACTTGGACAATCAAAGCTAGAGTGCACACACAAGGGATTTGGTTACAAGATACTGTTCCAAGTTGTCAAAGACGACAGACCTAGCATTCTGGGAAAGAAAACATGTACAGAAATGAACTTGGTGCGACGCATACATGCAGTTGAGAGACCTGTGTTACCAAGTCCAGAGGTGAATAAAGATATTCTGGGAAAATTTCCAGAACTATTCAACGGACTGGGTTGTATGCCTGGAGAACATCACATTGAACTTTTGGATGATGTTACACCTGTTGTACATCCACCAAGAAAAGTGCCAGCAGCAATGATGGGTTAACTAAAAACTGAGCTCAACCGAATGGAGAAGCTTGGTGTCGTTGTCAAACAGACAGAACCAACCAACTGGGTGAACAGCATGGTTACTGTAGTCAAACCACACAAGATCTAAACAGGGCTGTGAAAAGAGAACACTATCCCATGAGAACTGTGGAAGAAATCATGTCACGCTTACCTGGTGCTAAAGTATTCACTGTTCTGGATGCTGAGTCCGGGTTCTGGCAGATGAAATTGGATCAAGAAAGCTCCAAACTGTGCACCTTCAACACACCATATGGTAGGTATCACTTCACAAGAATACCTTTCGGAGTTAAATCAGCTCCAGAGGTGTTCCAGTGAACAATGTCTCAGCTACTAGAGGGCCTTACTGGTGCAGAATGCATCGTTGATGATGTGCTAGTGTGGGGTATAGATGTTCCGCAACATGATGAGAGACTGTATGCAGTTCTCAATAGGATACAGTCAAGTGGTCTGAAACTTAACAGATCAAAGTGCAAGTTAAGAATGACAGAAGTGTCATATGTTGGACATCTTCTGACTAAGGATGGACTAAAACCGGACCCTGAAAAGGTGAAGGCTATTAGAGAAATGCCAGAGCCGGAAAACAAACATGACTTGATGAGATTCCTGGGCATGATTCAGTACTTAGGAAAATTCATAGCAAATCTCTCCAGTGAAACTGCGCCACTGAGGGAGTTGATGTCAAAAGACATTGCATGGCACTGGGAAGAACCCCAGAGAAAATGCTTCAAGAATTTGAAGAAACAAGTGACAGACACTCCGGTACTTCAGTACTTCGATGTCACTCAACCAGTAACATTGTCAGTTGATGCCAGTTCCGAAGGACTAGGAGCAATGCTCATACAAGCTGAAAAGCCAGTTGCGTTTCCATCACGATCACTAACAAGTGCACAGAAGAGATATGCACAGATCGAGAAGGAGATGCTGGGAATCCTGCATAGGTGTGAGAAATTCCATCAATATATATATGGAAAACCTGTCCTCGTAGAAACAGACCACAATCCCCTTGAAGCAATCTTTCGAAAAAAACATTGTGCCAGGCTCCACAAAGATTGCAGAGAATGTTGCTCCGTCTGCAGAAATATGATCTACAGGTTACTTACCATCCAGGTAAAGAACTTATCGTTGCTGATGCTCTAAGCAGAGCATATCTCCCAGCTGATGACAATTGGTTCGATGAGACAGAGTTTAATGTGAACTTTATATCACAACTACCCTTGACTTCATCTAGAGTGGAGACATTCAAGTTGGCCACAGCAGATGACCCACAACTACAGCAATTGAAATCTGTCATTCTCATTGGTTGGTCGTCGGACAGGAAAGATGTTCCAGCTTGTGTACAAGACTCCTGGAATATTCGTGACGAACTGACTGTAGTTGGGGATCTATTCTTCAAGGGAAACAAACTAGTTGTTCCAAGGGCACTGCAAGCAGAAATGCTACAGAAAATTCATGAAGCACACCTGGGAATAACGAAATGCAAGCAACGAGCAAGAGATGTACTCTTCTGGATTGGAATGAACAAACATATCGAAGATTTTGTATCACAGTGTACAATCTGCAATGAAAACAAAAAGAGCAACACAAAAGAGCCACTGAAAAGCAATGACATACCAGAAAGAACATGGGCTAAAGTTGGTGCAGACTTGTTTGTATACAAAAACAGTGACTACCTGTTGTGTGTGGACTACTTTTCAAA